TTTTCCCAGTGTGATCAAAGTATGTCTTTCTTATGGTTCTCTTTGTTACCTACCTCCTCTGAGGTCATGGACTACAGACTGGTTATCCCTTGATTTATGTCTATTATCCACTCATGAGTGATTACATACCATGTTTTTCTTTCTGGGTCTGGGTTACCTCACCTAGGATGGGTTTTTGCCTGCAAATTTCAAGATGCCATTTTGTTTCTGCTAAATAGTACTACATTGTATAACTGTACCACATTTTCTTTATTTATTCTTTGATTGAGGTGCATCTAGGTTGTTTCCAGGTTCTGGCTGCTATGAATAATGCTGCTAGCTAATAACACAGTTGAGCTAATGTCCTTATGGTATGAGAATACATCTTTTGTTTATATGCCCAAGATTGGTATTTCTGGGTCTTGAGATAGATTGATTCCCAATTTTCTGAAAAACCACAATTTCCAAAGTGACTGTACATGTGTGCACTCCAACCAGCAATGGAGGAGTGTTCTCCTTACTCTGCATTCTCTCTGGCATGTGCTATCATTGATGTTTTTCATCTTAGCTATTCTGACTTATGGAAGATGGTATCTCAGAGTCTTTATGATTTGCATTTCCATGATGGCTAAGTATGTTGAGCAATTCCTTATGTATTTTTCAGTCATTTAAATTTAGACTCTTCTGTGGAGAATTCTCTGTGTAGACCTATACCCCATTTTTAAATTGGATTATTTGGTATTTTGGTGTCTAGTTTCTAGAGTTCTTTATATATTTTGGAGATCAGACTTTTGTCTGATGCCTACAGCATTGTAACTAATAGAGTCTCTGTGTATTATTTGGGGTTGACGTGGCACTGGGACCAGGCTGGTGGGATGAACGTTCATTTCAGGCATCTGTTGAGAAAATTGCTTTGCAGAAGAGGTTTACATTCATGTATTTCTGCTTGTCAGTTCTTGCACTTAATTCTTGTACTTCTGTCACTACAGTCCCTCTCAGACAGTCCTTGACCATCTGTACTGCTTTTCTCTGTTTCCTTGGTGCCATTTTGAAGTTTCCACTCTTGCCAAGTGTGGTAATGTACACCAGTAAATTTTGCACCTGTGTGTGGGATGGCATGAGCGTTTCAGGTGTGGGGGTGTGGGGAGCGAAGGTGAGAAGCTCAGGTACTCAGGCCAGTCACAGCTTAGTTGCAGAAGTCTAGACTGTCCTTGTCTCCAAAAACAACAATAAAGGCTTAGATACTGTTTAAAGGCCTTTGTTGTATTTTCAATTGGTTCTCACCCAAGGTGAGAGATACAGATTTAGTTGCATTCCTCTTATGGTTACCCTTCAATTTTCTTGAACCCTCTGTTGAAGAGACCATCTTTGCTTTTGATTTGTTTGCCAGAAATGAGGTGGCCATGGTAGTATGGCTTTACTTCATGGTTCTATATTGTGTACTATTGATGTATATGCTTATTTGTTTATTTTTGTGAAAGTTCCACGCTGTTTTGTTACCATGTCTTTGTCCAAAATCTTGAAATTAGTTTTTGTGTATAGCAAGCATCACTTTTTGCTCAGGTTTGCGTTGCTATCCAGGTATTTTGATTCCTTATTAATTTTATAATTTTCTTCTAATTCTGTGAAGAATGTCCTTGGAATTTCAGTGTCATCATTTTGAGTCTGCATTCCATCTTGTCACAGTTACTCTTATTATATTAAATGTTCCAGTCTGTAAGTACAGAGAGTCTTTCCATCTCCTACTGTCTTCTTCGGTTTCTTTCTTCAGTACTTTCAAGTTTTTGTCATAAGAGTTCCATTTGGCTAGATTCATTCTTAGGTCTATACTTTGGGCAAGCATTTGAGTGGGGTTGTCTTCCTTATTTCTTACAAAGTAAGTTTTTAATTAGTATACAGAAAAGCTACTGACTTTTGTATGACATTTTTGTATCCTGCTACCTGGTTGAAATTCTTCATCACAGGCAGATGCGGGGACATCAATGGACATGTCTACTATGAAAATAAAATAATAGTTAACTACAATACTATGATCATTCAACTCCAAGAGCTTTAAGAATAAGGCATATAGGTATTTCTATGCACACTGTGCTCACTGTGAAGAGAACAGAAGTGGAATAAGACAAGTGATTACTTTTTTTGGTGTAAAGAAAACTGCAGCCTAGAGGAGGAAAAGAATAAAAGGAGGAACAATAAGAGACAAGCTAAGGATCTGAAGCAGCTCCTGCTAAAGGTAAATGAAATGATCAAGAAGAAAAGGAATGGAATCAGGAAACCTAAAATAATTCAGCTCTAAGTAATTGGAAGCTGGGGGAATTCTAACTCCAAACTCACCTGTGTCCTTCAGGCACAGCTATCAAAAGGAAAAAGAATAAGAGACCTAGAACAGAGGAGGGCTCAGTGAATATTCTAAATTGGTATTAAGTGTTAAACCGGAGACCATGGAAGTGGAGGAAAGAGAGTTAGTTAGGTTGTGGTTCTGACTCCAAATGTAGTTTCTCCTCTAGTGATGGTACCAGTTTCAGCTCATAGTCTTTCTTCACTGGTTCACTCAGGCCAATCAGATCACTGAGCAGACTCTCACAAGTTAAATCACGATGAACAATAACACCTCAATAATCCACCCTGAGATCAGAGCATGCATTCTGAACTTGCGTTTGTGTTCCACTCTAGACTATGGCTCAGAAGAGTTTCCTACCTCAATGAAAGCTGCTCAGCTGCTCCTCAAAGTCATAACTGTAATCCTGTATTACATCCCCAGTCTATTCTGCAGCCCAGGTTTCAGAGTTTAGTTCCTTGACCATTAGACTAGACTTACAAAGTATGCAGTTCATAGGCAGTTGTTTTTGTCTGGATTACCTTGCTGTAGACACAGTGTGGTCTTGTGAAAACAGCTTTTACAGACTCTTCATAGAAGAAAGTTTTCAGGTGATCTCCCGGCTTTTATTCCATCTCTGTCCCATCTTCTTTCTAAAATGCCTATGACACATGCACAGAGCAGATCTGCCTTTGCTGCCCCTCTTAAACAATGTTGCTGGCGATCTACAGTTGACAGTACTTCTTACTTACCAAACTAGGTTCAACTCTCCAAGATGAATTTGGCTATTCATTCCCACCACCCTCTTCTGTAGTTTTCTACTTTACTTTGATACTGAAAGTTGGTAAGTCCACTCTCACCTATGAATTACGATACTACTTTTCCAAATACCATTAGCCTGTCTCTAAAGGCATGTGACATATTATACCCATGTTTTATTTAACTTATACAAACAAAAATCTAACCTTTATATTCAGATATGTTCCTTCTATCAACAGTTTGTCCAGGGATTTTTATCATAATGTTGAACTTTATTAAAGGTGCAATCTGTGTTCACTGAGATGTTCATCTAATTTCTGATCTTATCTGGACTTGTGTGCTGCATCAAATTTACTGAGGAACCCTCTACCTCAGTTTTGGAGGCTTGAGATAACATTTGAATAAGAAAGCTGATGGAACCAAGATCACACATCTAGCTGTGGTCGAATGGGCTACAATATAATGTGATCACATTGGAAATAAGACTCCAAGACCATGCACACATTCTGATCTTCCAGGAATTGATTCAGATAAAAACATAAATGATAACTTCCCAAACCTCTCTTTAAAGAAGAAACACTCAGTGTACTTTCCACTTTCCAACTTTGAAAGAGATTATTTAGAAGGAAGGTTACAGAATAGTTAGCACAAGAAGATATTTAGAATGCAAAGTCAATATTTCTTCTCCAATAGTGGCCCCATCCTTTTCACATTCTTTTGACGTAGTGTTTTCAACTCCCAAACTGTGGAAGCTTGATCCACATCTCATGGAGCTGGGACTTGAAGGCATTCTGGTAAAGAAATTTGGTTATTATTGCTATATCATTTCATTTAAAATATATTTTAAAATTAATTTTGAGAGTATAATATATTTATAAAATTTCATCCTTCCTATTGTTACATACATATAAAGGAAACTTTTTCAGAAGATAATAACCAATCAAAGTGCACAGTTGTGGTGTCCAGCTCCAGCATCTCCAACATAGTCCCTGATCCTAAGTTTCACGGATGATTGCAGAAGAGTAGTGGATGAACAGGTTTTGATGTGGGATTGTTTTTTCCTAGGAATTTCAGAAGCTACACCCATAAAAATATGATCTTTAATTTTTTAATTTATTTTGTTTTGTTTTGCTTTGGCTTTTTTTGATGCAGGGTTTCTTTTCTCTGTGTAGCAGCCTTGGATGCCCTGAAACCGTTTGCTTTGTATACCAAGATGGACTCAAACTCACAGAGATACACCTCCCTCTGCCTCCGGGGTACTGGGATTAAAGGCATGCACCACCACACCAGTCAAGAATATGCTTTAATAGAAATAGTATATTATGTTTCTCCTACTTTTCCTCCCTCTGTCCCTTACAACTACCAATTCTCAAACCCCTCCCTCCCATGACCCACCACTTTAAAGTTGATAGCCTCTTCTTTTTGATGATTGTGATATGGGAAGTGAACTTTCTTGACTTTCTCCTGCCTCCTTTGATATACTATACTAGAACCAACAAAATTCTAAATATTTTTCTTCCTATGCTCTAAAAATGCTCTTCATTAAATGTAGACATTCCTATGCCATATTTTCCCTCACTCCATCTTCCCCACAAAAACCATCCATTGTCAGCACAAACCTTGGCTGGCAACAAAACCTAGAGATGCAAAATATATACACTCCTTTAGCTGCAGCTGCTAGACATTCAGTAAGTACCTGTCAATTTAATTTTGTTCAGTGTCGCTCAATGTGTAAGATAAAGCGAAAAAATGGAGCAATAGACTTTTAACTCAGACAAGCATCATATACAGGACAAGTACCATGTGTGCACTATTCTCCCATATTGTTCTCATATCCTCTGAGATTTCAGTTGATGTTGTATAGTGTGACTTAAAATGGATAAATATTAATCTTCAGATATTATAAAAGTATAGCATTTCATATTCATCTTGAAAGTGCAAGATATTGATATTTTCATTTCCTTTATTGGTTTAATTATCCATATTATATCCTTACAATTTTACTGTTTAACTTTAAGAAAAGCATTATTAAATATCAATTAAACATATTATATAGAAACGTAGGTCCCAACAAATTTAACAGAAAACAAAATTAAATCATAATGTGTTTTTGAAAAAGATTTATTTCTATAACTATGTGCATGTGTATCTGTGTGTATATGTGTACACAGGAGGAGCCTTTTGAGATCAGAAGAGTTCCTCTGGAACTAGAATCACAAGTGGTTGAGAGCCAATAGATTTAGGTGCTGGGAACCAAACTTGGGTCTTGTGTAAGAGCAGTATTCATTCAACCACAAAACCATCTCTCCAGATCCAACTGTGGTTTTTCTGTAGTCCAAAGAATTATTGTGAATGTTCCAAGAGAAAGGGAACATATATATACATATATATATGTATGTATGTGTATGCATATATATATATATGAAACTCTTAATATTTGTTACAGATACTCTGTAATTACTTATTATACAGTGAGTTCCAAAACTTAATTACTGAAATTGGTTTCCACATTTATTAAACCTATTTACAAGTACTTAGTCACTAAACTTATTTATAGTCATTAATTATTATCTTAACTACCACAAATCTCTTATTAAAAATAATCATGGTATTACAGAGATTTAACATTTATCCATTGTTTGATAGCAAAAAGTATCAGAATAATCTTTAAAAGCCAAGCTAAAGGATGAATCATACTCACTGCAATCTGAATAAAATTTCACATTTTTTATTTCATTTTTATAATATCAGCTTTTTAAAAGATTTATTTTAATAGCATGAATAGATCTCTAATCAACAACAAAGCAAAAGAATAAAGTACTAGATGGGTCATACAAATATGTTAAAATGAGCTTCAAAAATACTACTTTATTCCTTAACTGACTGGTTGGAATCTGTGTGTTTTCATTATGATGCTAGTCTATATGTAGGTTTTGTTAATGGTGTCTCTCTGTGTACTGCAGCCTGATTTTTAAAATAACAGTCTAGACTATTGAGAATTAGAGTTGCCAGTTTAAGGGAATGTGCCACTACAGTGAGTTACTGATTATAATTCTCATGATTTCATTCATTCTGCTTGCAGATAAGTTTCAATGATATTTTGAAATGTCATTTAAACAAATTCAGCAGTCTGCTACACATGTTATCACAAGTTTGCAAACCCAGTGTTGGGGATGTTGAAGGAACAGTGAATTCAGAGACAACTAGGGGTGCCATAGGAAGACTATGTCGTTTGTCTTTCCCAACTACATACAGCAACAATAGCAACAGCAACAAATCATTATTCTTTTTCATTAAATAAGCAAGCATTTGTGCTGGGCATGTAGTTCAGTCTAGTCTGCAGAGCATTAGATTAACATGTGTGAGAATCTGGGCTTGATCACTAGCAATATATAACTCAGCAGGGTAGCACATGCCTTGAGGAAGTCGAAGGAGAAGAACCGAATTCCCAGGTCAGATTTGACTACATAGGAAATCTGAGGACAACCTGGTTATACAAGACCCTTTATTATGAACAAACACAAATCCTTCATATTTTTAACAGATCCTTAAAAGAATTATTCAAGTTAATATAGTAAGTTTCATCCTTAAAATATTAGATGTTCTTTTAAAAGTAATGATCTCTCAAAACAAGTCAGTAGTAAAGCAAAGGATAAGGAAATGGTTGTTGTCGTCATAAGCTTTTCAGTGATTTATAATCAACTGTCATTTCAAGAAGATGCATATATGAAACAGAAAGTGTAAATACTGAAAAGACATAGAGATATTTTCATTGCTACAGATACTAATAATGCATGCCTTAGAAATTCAAGAAGACTGAAAAACTTATTACAAAAGAAAATCATTAGAAAAATCCAGTAAACTGAAGGGTTAAGCTTTTATTATCATGCCATTGAAAGCTTGCTTGTACACCAAGAATAGTCAGCCAGAAATTGCGACTGAGGAGGCAGATATCACTATATCTTAATATGACCACATTGAAATTAATATGACCACATTAAACACTATATTAGTGTTTGTTTTCATTATGTTTTAAGATAGAATCTCATTATTGGGGATCCTAGCTTGCAATCTTCCTGTCTTAGCCATTCAAGTGATGATGATGTGTATGTATGTATGTATATATATATGTATATATATATATATATGGACCAACATACTCATATTTTGCATTGACTTATAATAAAGGAATACGTGAAAACAAAGAAGTAACTAAATTTCTACCCTCTAGAAATTCCAGAGTTATATTGGAGGAAGAAGTTTGTTAAAACATCTAGATAACCAGTGCATCTGCTTTTGTTCACTTTAAGGAAAATATGAGTTGACTGACCTTGTATAGCTTCTAAATTGGATTCACAGTCATGCTGTACCATCATTTCCTTATTTTTACATTTTGGAAAATTTCAAACCTATCTGAAATGATGTAATCACATGGAAGAGAAATCCTATGAATGCAAACAATATGGTAAGCCATTTAATTTTATAGTTCTATCAAGTACATAAAAGAAATGCCGGAGAGGAACCATATATACTTAAGGATTTTGGGAAATCTTTCTGCTTTCTCGGTTCTTTTAAAAGGCATAAAAGAACCCACACTGGAGCGAAACCCCATGAATGTCAGGAATGTAGTAAATTCTTCAGCAATTCTGGTCATATAAATATATATGTAAGAAAAAAAAATCCCCTGGAGAGCAGCCTTGTGGAGGCCAACGGTGTGGGAAAGCACTTGACTACTGCAGTTGTTCAGGAGCATTCCAGAGCGTGAAAGCAGAAAATATTATGAGTGTGGTAGAGCTACACTTCTTCCACTGACTTCCCAGGGCACGGAAGCTCTCACCCTGGTGGGAAACAGCATACAGAACAAGTGTGAGAGACGTCGATGTATTTAGGAAATTAAACAAAAACGTTTTGGTATATAATTTTCATCTAAAGGACTTTACTTCAATAAGAGAGACAGTAAAAAAGTTTTAGTTATGTGGTGTATGTAGTTCACGGTCACACATAAAAATATAAGTCACAACAATCCAATGGATTCTTACTAGACACAGGTGACAGGAAGCCGAAGCACAGTAGGATAGACGGACAGGCAAAATTGAAGTGGGAGGGCATGAGAGGGAAGAAGAGGTCCCCATCCTCTTGAAATTTCCTGTCGGCAGCAAGGAAAGAAACCTGATGATATTGATCACTGCTTAAAGCTTCTCTGGCAATATCACCAGGAGCCATGTTTACAGGGGACTGACGTGGACTTGTGCAAGCCTAGTGTTACAGTAGCATTGCAGTTTCTTCCAGGGACAGTTCTTTTCTCTTGGTAAAAAAAGTGGAACATACCTCTGTCCTAATATTCCAGTCTACCCAAAGTATGAGAGTTCAAATCTAGTTAGGTGGGTAATTACCTCTTTAACAGTCTACCCCTCAAGAATTCAGAGGCATCTAGTTCCATGCTTAATGATGTAGTACACTTGTCATTCCCTAAATCCCTGCTGTCTGTACACTCACTACAGAAGTGTCATGAGGTTCTGCAGGGTCTGTTTGCCATATAAAGTCTTCTGCTTGTCTGTCCCTTTCAGATGCTAGGTAGAGACCAGCTAGGCTTTCTCTAACACTTTGGGGTTTTTCACTCCCTGGTGTCACCAGCTTTTTGTCGTGTGGTTGCTTACAGTCTGCATGCCAATTTCTCTTCTTTTTCCATCTTCTTCATGGAGGCAGCTGCCAAGATTATACATTTCTCATGTTAGAATTTTTCTTTTAAATTCAAATGAGTTGTTGTGAGCTTTCTTATTGATTTACTAATGAGAGGAATAATCCTGAGAAGAGACCACAGCTTGCCAGTTCAAAGGTGGCTTCCCAGAATTTTCAGTAATATTGGTAGCTTGTGGTTTACTTTAGCAGATGATACCCACACCCAAGGTATCTCCAGAGCCACTTCACTTCTCTTACATCAAAACAGAGAAAGCAGTGAAAGGTTTCTTAACAAGAGTATGAGATGTAATTTGAGAGCCAACAAAATGGCATTGGTACACATGGCTATTACTGAGATATGTAACTGCAACTCTCCATTGAAGAACTTATCTGACTACTTGGATGTATCTTACTCCCTGTGACTCTCCCTTGAGGAGCCAATAGTTCTGATTAGGTATGCCTCATTTTCTAGGACTCTCTTGAGGATTTCAAAGCCATACTTGGGAATTCCCTATTTTCTGTGACTCCCTTTCAGAGAAGCCATTAACAATGATCTCGGGTATCCTGTTTTTCCACTTTTGGGGCCCTGTCCTCATATAACCATCATGCTTAAGCCTATGTTAAAATATCTCTAATAAAATCTCCAACACTGTTTTATTATACTGGCTAGTCCTTAACTTACTTTTCAGCATCAAAGTCATCACTCCTGGTTTGGCTTGAGTCAAAGTCCTGAAAGGATGAAGGATTCTATCAGCTGGGGGAGGTGCTACATGGAACCATGGTTCTGCCCCATCTCCACTGACAAGTACCTAACCACTTTATTTTAAATCAGTGAGTAAATTCACTTATATTTAAGGTTACTACTAACAGGTATTTGCTATTTACTAATTTTTAGGTGATTTCTAGGTGGTTATATTATTATTATTTCTTTTCCTCCTACATTTCTGTTAAAGTTTTGTTGGTTTGATATGCTAGGCTTGATAGATCCCTTCCAAGTTCATAGTCTAGTCATTCATTCCATGAAATGTTTTCTACTTTCTCATGTATGAGAACGTCAATTTTTTGTATTTTGTATTCATGGAAGCATTTTTCTGAAGTGCTGGTTTAATTGTGATGAATTGTCTGAATTGATGTGTGCTAATCTTTAAATGGTCTCATTTCTCCATCATCTCTAAAAGACATGTTTGTTATGTATAGCAACTTTGTTTAGTTATTTACTTTCAGTGTTCAAAACACATCAGTTCATACTGTCCTGGATTATAGGATTGGTGACAAAATAATTCATGTTTTTTTTATGTTTCTCCCTCCCTATGTGAGTTGAAATATCTCTCTTACAGCTGTAAGTAGTGAGTCTTTACATTGTACTTTTGGATATCTTGACTATAGTGTGGTATTGTGGGTTTTCTTCTCTGCTTGTTTATCCCAGATTTTAAGTGCCTCTTACCTGGCTATGTTGTGCAGCAAAGCACACTACATTTGTAATACCTCTGATGCTTGGGTGTTCATTTCTTTCACTAAATTCAAAAAAGTTCAATAACTTAATTGACTAAATTGTCTATGACTACTTTAGTCCCTTCTTCTACCCTCATGGAACTCTGATTTTGTTTGTTGAACACAACCTAGCACTCTTGTTCATTGTGATCATGATCAGTTTTTTCCTTTATACATGTCCAAATTCTTTCTTACCTCAACTGTGTCCTCCTTACTTGAAATTTGTCTGTTTGTTATTGTGTGTTAATGATGCTTTCCACTGTAATTATTTATTTGATTTATTGATTATCTCCTCTCCAGAATTTGTGCAGTTTTTTTTCCAGATTCTCAACATCCCACATGAATCTCCCTTCCAGTTTTTAAAAAAATTTTCCCCATTAGTATTTTGTCTATATTGCCAACTTTCTTTTCAAGGTCTGGAATATATTTTCTTACTTCATTATCTGCTTATTTGAGTACTCTGCATTATCATTGATCCTTTTGAGAAGTAGGTTTCTGAAATTTGTGTCTGGCATTTCATCCAGTGAAATTAGCAGTGATTCCCCAAGTCTAGTGAAAGAAGTTAACATCTAGACCTAAGAGGCATTTACAGGCATTGCACAGCACAGTCATGTAAGTGGCGTTTAGAAGCCCATATATCAAAGCAGAAAACAAATTCACAATGCTGTATCAGTGCCTTTGGTTTCAATTGTAGCAGTTTCTGAACATACAGGTTTACAATAGTGGATTTTCCTCCATATATTTTGTTTCTCAGTTGTGTTTTATGGATCAGTTAGGATGTGTATTTCCTTTGGTTTTCTTATTCCTCCCTTTATTTCTCACTTTTGCTTGCTTGTTTGTTTCATTTTATTTGACTTTTATGGTGATGTGTCTTCACTTGTGGTCTTAACTGCTGACCCATAGCTCCAGGCCTTACAATTATTTAACATCTTTTTGCTACAAATTTTCTTTTATTGAGCCTAGATTCTTTTCTCGTGCAATATATTCTGATTATAGTTTTCCTTCCCTCTACTCCTCCAGTTCCTCCCCACCTACCCTATTCTTCCATTCACTCCATTTTGCCTTGCATTAGAAAAGAACAATATTTTAGGAGATAACAATAAGCATGACAAAATAAAATATAATAAGATGAAGCAAATTCTATCGTACTGATGTTGGATGGATCAATCCAACAGGAGGAAATGAGCCCCAAGAGCAGGCAGAAGAGTCAGAAACTCACCCATTCTCATTGTCAGGAGTCCCATAAAAATACTAAGATAATAGCTATAATATATATTCAGAGGACTTGCTGTAGGCCTATACAGAACCTGTACTTGCTGCTTCAATCTCTGTGAGCTCATATGTTCATTGCTAATCTTCCTGGTGTCCTCTGTACCATCTGGCTCTTATACTCTTCTTCCCCCACCCTCCCATTCACGGGATTTCCTGAGTTCTAGAGTGAGTATTTGATGGAGACTTCCAATTTAAACTTTCCAAATATTGCCTGGTTGTGGGTCACTACATATGTTCTCATCTGCTGCCTGAGGAAGAATCTCTGATGATGACTGGATAAGGCACTAAACTATGAGTATAGAAGAATATCACTAGGAAATATTTTATTGAATTTTTAGATCAGTAGTGTTTGGTCTCACTCTGAGTCTCTGGGTTATCTGGTTCCCAGTTCCTGTTACCCTAGAATTGTTGCATGTGAATTCCTTCTCATGGAGTGGACATTGTTTGGCTACTCCCACAATTTCTATGCCACCATTGCTCTAGCATATTGTGTACACAGAAATGGAATGTAGGCCAAAGGTTTGATGTTTGGGTTAGAGTCCATGCTTCTCTCTTGGTAGCCTAGAGTACCTTCACACACCAAATAGACTAGAATATAAAGGTGAGGGTTCTATGTAGGTAGGCACCAGCTCAACATCTACATACTCAATGGGTTGTGAGGATGTTGTCCCTAACAAGGGTGCCCTCCTGCTGTCACTTTGCAGAGAACAACATTTTGTCTGAACAACAGCCTGGGTACTTGGGGATTTCCCTAAGACTCACATTGGCACAGGACATGGCTTTCTGAACAGAAAACCTATACTACAGGCACTAAGATCAGCAATTAATAAATGGGACCTCATGAAACTGAAAGGGTCTGTTAGGCAAAGGACACCCTCTCAGAATAAGTGGCATTGTACAGAATGATAAAAAAAAATTTTACCTATTCAACTTCTGAAAGAGATCTAATATTCAAAATATACAAAGAACTCATGAAACTAGATAATAAAAACCCAAATAATTCAGTGAAAAATGGAGAACAGATCTTAACAGAGAATTCTCAATAGAGAAGTCTCAAGTGACTGAGAAACACTTAAAGAAATGTTCAATATCCTTAGCCATAAGGGAAATGCAAATAAAAACTACTTTGAGATTCCACCTCAGTCCTGTCAGAATGTTAAAGATCAATAGCACATATGAAAACTCATACTGGTAAGGAAGTGGAGCAAGGGGAACATTCCTCTACTCCTTGTGGGAGTGCAAAGTTGTTCAGCCACTATGGAAATCAATGTGGCATATGGCAATTTCTCAGAAAGTTGGGAATCAATCTACCTCAAGATCCCGCTGTGGTACTTGGGCATATGTACAAAGGACACTTCATGCTGTCACAAGGACACTTGATCATTGTGGCTTTATT